CTTCCCGGACACAGTCCTGGACTCGGATAGGCAACCGGTCAAACCACTCACCAACTGCATAAGCATTGTCGCCAGACTTTCCGCACTTCACACTCTTCTACAAAATAAACCGCTGTAAGTATACTAATAAAAGTGCAAGGCATAGAATTATATATTTTGATGTAGGAAATCAAGAAAAAATGACGAAAAATACGTATTTCACAGCTACTGTGGCACAAGCCACTAAGTAGTGGTGCTACGCACTTCTTAAGTGGCGTGCGCCACTACTGCTGTGGAGCATGCCATAACATAATAGAGCAGCCAAACAGTTAAGAAGTGGTACAAGCCACAACCATTGTGGCGCACGCCACAGCAGCCTGCCATAGCCCAAAAAATTACCAAAAGGAAAAATTCTTACCTAATTTTTTATTTTTAACCTTTTATTAGCATCTTTCTAGTGTTTTTAACGCAAAAAAAAAAAAAAAAAAAAAAAAAAAAAAAAAAAAAAAAAAAACAAAAAAAAAAAAAAAAAAAAAAAAAAAGATAAAGGTTTAGTACGAAATTTACCATCGGACATGCCCCAACAAAGGTGGCTGGTAAACATGGCGTAGGCTGAAGAAGTCCCTACGTCCAGGGAATAAACTCACGTATATAATACCATGCTCACAGAGGTTATCACGGTGATCAATCCACTTATTTCTCCAAAGAAGGCCAACCCATGGATGATTCTCAGTAGCCAAGAGTTTTTGGTTGATGAGAAAAGAAGAAAGAGAGAATTTTTGAAGAGAAGTTTGAAAGCATAGGTCAAAGTGACCAAATGAATGTCACTTTCACCTTGTATATAAGTTAAGAGGAACATTCCATCTGCGGCCCGACTTTTAGCCTTTAGGCCCAGTATGGGGGCCCGACGTGCCCAACCTGCTGCCGAAAAAAAAAAAAAAAAAAAAAAAAAAAAAAAAAAAAGATAAAGAGTTTCGAATTACCTCGGACATGCCCCAACAAAGGTGGCTGGTAAACATGCGTAGGCTGATAGAAGTCCCTACGTCAGGGATAAACTCACGTAATTTCATACCATGGCTCACAGGTTATCACGGGATCAATCACTGTATCTCCAAGAAGCCAACCCATGATGTTCTCAGTAGCCATGAGTTTTGGTTGAGAGAAAGAAGAAGAGAGAATTTTGAAGAGAAGTTTTGAAAGCTAGGTCAAAAGTGACAAATGAATGTCACTTTCACCTTTGTATATAGTTAATGGGCTTATGGGCCCGACTTTAGCCTTTAGGCCCAGTATGGCCCGACGGCCCACCTGCTGCGACCAGCTTTCATGCTTAGCCTGTAACCTGCCAATGGCTCGTCGACCAAGCAAGAGCAACACACCGCTGGCCGCAGCTAATTTTCACCTCGTCAAGTAAGTTTCCTCGTTTTGCGTGCAACGACACGTTTTCTAATAAATTCACATAAAAACACACAAATTCATGCAAATTCACACAAACTCATGCAAAATCAATTCTATGCAAAATCACGCGTCATATGTACACATTTTTTTTGGCCTAATCACGAAATTTCTTACTCTAACCATCGGCCAAAGGCCTGTTTTCCTGTCAGCAAAAATTGCTTTTGCAGGTACCTCCCAAAGCGAAGCATTTCATTTCAAGCCATCCTAGGTGGCATACACAAAGCCCTTCAAAGAAGGCATCCATCCAAAGAACAACCTCCCAAAGCGGAGCATTTCAGTTCAAGCCGTCCCAGTTGGTGCACCCAAACCCTTCAAAGAAGGCACCCATACAAAGGACAACCTCCCACAGTGGAGCATTTCAAAACTAAGCCGTCCTAGGTGGTGCACCTAAGCCCTTCAAAGAAGGCACACATCCATTGAAGCCACCGACAACCACCATGGCGTAGCTCATCCGCATCTCATGTCATCAGTGATAACCTCCCATGGTGGAGCATTTCAGAACCAACCATCCCAGGCGGCGCACCTAGGCCCTTTAAAGAAGGCACACATTCGTTGAAATCATTGACAACCACCATGCTGCAATCCATCCGCATCTCATGTCCTCAGTGACAACCTCTCATAGTGGAGCATTTCAGAATAAAGTCGTCCCAGGTGGTGCACCTAAGCCCTTCAAAGAAGGCACACATTCATTGAAGCCGCCGACAACCACCATGGCGCAATCCATTCGCATCTCATGTCCTTAGTGACAACCTCCCACAATGGAGCATTTCAGAACCAAGTCGTCCCAGATGGCGCACCTAAGCCCTTCAAAGAAGGCACACATTCGTTGAAGCCATCGATAACCACCATGGTGCAGTTCATCCGCATCTCATCTCCTTAGCGACAAACCTCCCAAAGCGGAGCATTCCAGTCAAAATTGCCAAAATGGCACCTCACATCAGCAACGCCACCGGGTAAGTATTTCTTACTTGCGCATCTACTTTACACTTTGACGACATCTTGCAAAAAAAGCAAAATATCTTTAAAGTGGGGGCAAACTGTAGACGCTCAAATTTCGCCCCTAATGGTTCAATGATGATAAACCGTTTTTTTACATAACTTTGGTTCGACATTTTCGATTATCCTAGTTTTCAGACCAATGATCTGTGGCTGAGATGATTCATGTGTTTAATCATTTTACTTTTTTGGGTCACTAGTGTTTCACAATGAAACCAAGCTCGAGAAGCGCAACAGGCTCGCCCGGCACACTTCTCGATGCATTGCCTCATTTTGCATGCCACCCGGTTCGATTTTGTAAAAATGGGCTTGCCCTATTTTGGAGCCCACTAGTGACATTTTGCCACATAAGCCCTAGAATAGGGCAACACATTCCCCTTGGCCTACAAATAGGGCATTGGTGATTGTGTTAATAGGACTTTTTTTAAACACCTTAAGGAAACTATATCATTTTTGAAACTCAGCCTATAATCAAAGAGAAACTTTTGTTTTTTCTTTGATCTAGATTACTAAAACATCCATTTTGATTAGAAACCCTTAAGCATTGATTGAAAAGTCCATAAACATGTTTATCTAATCTCAAGCTCCGATTTTTGGATCAAAAACTCAACCTTTGGGTTTCCTTTATCCATTTTCACATGAATCTTTGGAAATCTTCAAAGAGGTAGTTTCTAAGAACCATTACCCCCTTTCTCCATCTCCTTTTCTTTTATCTTTGGTGTTAAATCACCATTCTTGAGTCTAGTTATGAGGAAAACCCTGGATCAACCAAAATAGATTGTCTGCATTGAAATGACGTGTTAGGAGCCTATAGTGGCGCAAGCCACTACGTGTGGCATGCACCATAAGCTAGTAGCCCGCGCCACTTCATTGTAGACATGTTCCTGAGGCTCTATTTCACTCTATGACCTTCTTGATCTGGGAAAGTGCCTAGCGCCACAACGTGTGGTGCACGCCCCTTCCAAGTGGCGCATGCCACTCTTCCTGTGGCGATAGACACTTCGTTTCAAGAGACCAGAACATTAATAATTAATAAAACGGACTCGATTCAGAGATCCAGTGGCAAAGCATCAGACCTTTTTATCTGAGTTGTGTTTTTGTCCCAGATGGATTAAATAAACACCAATAAATAAGATTTTGAGTAGTGATGAATGTATTTGTTCATCATTTATGATGAACATCAAGATCTTGAACTCTAATCTTGTATTAATCTTTAAATTAGTTGCTTTTAATTCAATGTTATTTACTTTTAATCACTCTTAATATCCTATTCTTTAAGTTTATACTCTTTTATTCATGTCTTATAATTATTGTTGTGCTAACCCATTATTCATTAACCCTTGAACATAAACATGCATCATTTAATCATTTGTTGAATGAATAAGTGTCTTTTTGATCGTGTTTGTATTTATGTTTCTGTTCATATTACACATGTTGTGTTTGTGTTGTATGGATGATTCTTTATTACTTTAGTTTTATTTTGCATTGGTTAAATGTAATGGGTCCTAAATGGATTTCTAATAATTGCTTGTTTGTAATATTAATTGGGATTTAAGAAATTTTGAGAGGGTCAATGGTAGACTGTATTTTAAGAGATTGGTTGTATTCTTTTCTCCTCCCCCTTTATTGTGGATGCTTCATTTTATGTTTTTTGTGTGTTTTACCAACTTGCATGATTGACGTGTTTTCTAAAATTGCACTAAAAAAATATTTTACATCTCAATTCTAATTAAATTATTATTAAATCATTGTGAATTAATGGACAACGAAGAAGCCGATTTAACCAGGCGATATGGGTACTTAACACCTTCTTAATATCGTACCTAACTCCCGAACCCTATCTCTAGTTTAAAAATCGAGTTAGTCGATTCTAACTCGAGAATTTTCCCTAACGAGGATGGCGACTCCAAATTAAAACTCTTATTAATGTAAGAGATCTTTATACTATACCTTTTTCAAAAAGATCTTCATTTCTGAGGATTAATAAACAGATTTAATAAAAAGAAAACCACTTTATTAAAGAAAATCAACCAAGCTCGTTCCGCTCCATAACGATTTTCTTTTATGGCAAGAAAAAATATAGCATCCTCACCTGGTGGACTCTTAACAAAATACTATTCTCACTGTACTTTTTGCTGATTAGTAGTCAGATCACTAAAACCATAGAATGAATTGTGTATTTTAATGAAAAGACCATTTAACAACTTAAAACTTTTATTTTGCATTAAAGCCACTGGTTATACAAAATAAAAATTATTATTTATTCATATAATCACTTTTTACTGACTGTTTGTCAACATGAGCTACTTCTTCTGTTGCCCTGAAACCACCAACTGTGGCCGCACAAACATTAGATTTGAAATAGTTTTGATTTAAAATTAAATTGAAAATAATTTTTTGAAGAGCATTATTTTTGTCAAAAATCCACTGTAAGTGCAAGTCAAAGATTGTTTTTTTTTTTTTTTTCTCCTTGGCCCAGAAAATAACATCAAATTTATTTTTATCTTGGAAATCTTAGGGAAAAAAATCAATATAAATCAAATTAAATACTCAATCATCTCAAAGAGTAGTTACTTAAAATCAAGCTTATAATAGAATTGAATTGAATATGACAGTGCGATCTCTTTCAAACAAGATGTCTGAAACTATTTCTAATAGAGAAAGGAATCAATGACATCAATCTCTCCAGTTTTGACCTATATCTTGCATAAAGAGATTATGGGTAAACTATTGATTTGTTTCGAACCAAATCTCCGGCCATGCCCAGTTACTTACCAATGTATCTGATACATGTTCTTCAAGTTCAGGTATCTTGTACATTACAGTGGCAACACAAGCAAATACAATCAACACAACCCCTTGTTTCTTTTGCTTTGCTTAATTGAGGGATCAACATCAATGCTTGCAACCTACAGCAATATTAAATACAAGCCTTCCTATGTCACGCAATGCATCAAATAGTGCAGTTATAAAATCTTCAACTGCTGGATGCAGTGACCGCATCAAGAAATTCTGCTGGCACATTATTTCATTGCGTGAAAGAGCAAAAGAAAAAAGAAAAAAAGGGTGAATTACTATTTATAAAATTTACAAGTCGGGATCTTTATTTTCAATAGCTAATTAAACAGTCCCTCTATTTTGTTGTCATTCAACAAAATAGTCATTTTGCTAAGATTGTTTGCAGATATTTTTTTTTCTATTCAACTAAACAAGTCAAATAAAGAACTTTTGTTTCAATTTTGCCCTTGAGGGAAAGAAACCAAATTTTATCTAAATTATAAATGGGTTGCAATTTTAAAAAGTTCCAATTAGGAGTTTAGGACTGTTGATGTTTAAGGTAAAAGAAAAACCTCAGGATTTGATTTGGTAGTGGTATGCAAAAGAAAGTTTGAAGTTTTTCTTAAGGGTAATTGATATTTCATCATAATAAAAACAACAACAAAATAGAGGGACCATTTAATTGATTTTCAAAATAGAAGTCTTAACTTGTGAATGTCACTGGACTATAGAAACTAAATATTAATATTAATTCACCAAGGAAAAAAAGACCAACCAATAAATAGACAAGGCATATCTAACCTTCCAATGGAAAAAGATGGTAGCATTTCTACGAAGCATATGCAGCTCTAACCCACAAAGTATAAACTCCATGATCTTTCACCCTGTAACATATGATAACCACATACACATAAGACAAAACATCAATGGAAAATATTCAAAAAACTCATTGGCCAATCCATGTGAGATAATACAACAATCATTAAATAACATTTTGGAACAGAAACCAACTATCAAACAACAACAAAAGGATTGATAAAGTAAGCTTAACAAAGAATAGACGCTATAGACTAATTTAGATGTTTTACGAAAAAAACTCCATAAAGTGCTCATCGTGGAGAGTGCTACAATTTACAGAATCATGGAAAAGGTTGTCCCGTTCCCGGATTGAAAAAATCAGGTCAGCAAATTATCATATGGTACCACAAGACCCCCAGAAAGAAAACTTCTCATAAGCATCGCCGAGAAATTACAAACCAACTCCATCAAAAGCTTCAAGTGTCTCCTTGGTTGCAAGTAAAAGAAGTTTACAGGTAAAATACCTTGGTTACAAGAACCCACCAATGTGAAGTGCAGAACAAACCATTCAGCACCTTTTCTCATCTAAACAAAAATGCCCCAACGTCATAGGAGTTGGTTTAGTAAAAGAGGTCCACATCACTGAAGATTTAGGAGGGAGGAAGATTTAGAACAGGTTAGGAGCTGCCCCTCTAATCAGCCATTAGGCTAAAAAAAGAAAAAATATGTAAAGTAAATCGAATAGGAGAATAAAAGGTAAAAAAAGAAAATTAAAAAGAAAAAGGAACTGCTAAGAGAAAGAAAATATATAGAGAAAAAGGCACGCATGTTCAAAAGAGTAACAAATAACCAAAAAGAATCACAGATTACTTACAAGTGTATATTATCAGAATTGATATCAGGAAAGATGTTAACATAAAAACGAAAACCATCGGGGCTTACATCCCTGCATAGTAAACCTGCAAATAATGTTAAATGGTAACAGTTAAATCTCAATTATCTGTCATTAATGCTTCAAAAGGAAACTTTGTAAGCAGACCTTTGCTCTCGGCAGTTAGAAGATGCTCCTTTGCCATAGCTGGAGCAATACCTAATGTCATTGCAGCATCACTAGCAGTTATTCCAGCATGGAGTGCATCTGGCTTTGTAACCAGGGTCTTGATTCGAGCAAAAACCTAAGACCGATCACATGTTAGAAATGTGATTATCATGAACCGGTTTTCATGCAGATGAAATGAAATTATAAGACATAGTAACTAAGATAAATTATATTTTGCTCATATGAACATCTCCCTAGTCCATGCCCCAAAATTTAAGCAATTCATGGTTTTGATTATGCTGAAGAGGTTCTTTTTCAAGCTGAACTGTATATGGTCCTGCATAGTTTTCTATGCAAAGAAGAAGCCTTTGTTTTAACTATGCTTGCTTTGTTATTATAGACAGATTGCTAAGAATGTCAGTTTACTAATTAATTAAGGAGGCAATTTTCCAACTGACTGGAATAATTTTTTGTTTTCCTGCATCTGCGTCTCCAATAAAAATATGTAACAAGCAACTGGGTGAAGTACTACAGCAATTACAAACATGACCCTCAAATTCATTTCACCATTCGCTCCATTATCTATGCAGATTTATATCATGTTTTTTCAAAACAATGTTACAAGAGATCACCTCCTCATCACTGTGGGACTTATTCTGGACGACCATAACTCCACTATCAAATTTTCGAAGCATAACTGGTCTGTCAAATGAAGAACAAACTTGTAAATGCTAAGCTAAACTCCTGATAAAGGAGTACTTAAATCAATCAATATCAATATTTGGAATCTCAAACAAACAACTATAGTACCACATAAGGTTAAGATAGTATCATACATACACATCAAATTTCTCCCAAAGAATGCAGGCTTGCAACAAATCCTCGGGTGAGATCAATTCTACATAAATAAGTATAAAATGAAAAGCTAGTCTTTGACAATTTAGTAAGTGCCACCACAAAATTTTAAAAAAAAAAAAATCACAAATTCAAACTATGTTCAGCCAACTAACAACATATTGGTATCAAACAAAACCTGTGCCCCGAGCACGATTGAAAAGGCAATAGATATCTATAAGATTGATCATCCCTCCAGCTCTTTCCAATGGAATTCTCACAAAATCTGCCAACTGAAAGTAAAAAATAAGAAATAGACAAAATTAACTTTTCTAGGAAAGAGAAGTAAATGAAAGGAAACTAACTCTTCGTTATTATGAGACATTTTTACCAAATTAAAGACAATGAGTAAAATACCATCCAGAAAACAATGATCATAAACAAATGCTATTGAAGCCCATAAGTAGCAACATTGCTAAGTGAGGTTTAACTATCAAAGGTTATCACATTAAGATCTAGATATTCTTGAGGGTCATTTAGCCAGAAAAAGGAGAATCTAAATCATTTTTCTAGAACATGATCCTGCACATCACCCATCATGAAGTTGACAACATTCTCACATGTTACAGGATCATTAAAACCTCAATGATTAAAAAAAAAAAAGGCAATAGAAAAGAATAAGAAAAAAAGAAGAATTTCTTCTCAGATTTATTTCATCAAGCAGAAATCTAGACTTATATATTCCCTCAAAAGAAAAAGAAAAATGCATTTAGGAACATGATAGTTCGATCAGGAATTTTCTTGGGTATTTATTTATACTTTTTCCATTGTATATTGATTAGAGCAGCATATTTGAAATCGATAATCCAAATACAACAAGAAAAGTTATGCAATGAAGTATTTTCTTCGGCTTTTGATAATGGAATTATGAGTATTGCTTTGATTTCGGTGTGCCTAAAGTGATTTATCTTGTTACCTTTCTTGTTCTTCTCTCCTCCTTCCAGCACTCAAAAGGACACCAGATTTTAGCCCTTATGAACAGCTGTTCATTACCAGAGATTTTGTTCACAGCATTCAAAAAGACCTTGCTTCGAGATTTTACCAATTACTAACCACTAGAAACTCTAAACTCCAATGATTATGCCATTCAATAAAGCATATTTGGTAAAAACAAGTAACAGTAGTAACATGTCAAAGACATGCTTGGGCTGAATTTGCATTTGAAAGATATCAGTCATCTTTTTCATCTGTTATTCCCAAAGCAGAAATAAATTAAGAACCTCAAAGGCGAAATCTAATATATATGTAAATTTATTTCATATATTATTATTCAACTAGGATTACATTTTTGTTTATTCTTTAAGTCGTCGTGTTTCTTGGATCCACCAAGTGCACCTTGCACCTCAAGCACTAGGACACTTTTGCGCCTTAGTGCACCTTTGGCCCTTAATCACACCGTGAGCAATAGGTTGAGCAATTCTCTTACATATGTGCAATTCACCTACATGTTTGCAATTTGCCAACGTGTGTTTGTATGGTGAGAAAATGTTAGTGATTAAGGATTATGGGGCCTAGGAAGAAAGAGGGGGACAAAATTGAGAGAGGAATGCAGGCATTTTCTGATCTGGGTTTAAAGGGTTGTTTTTGTTTGGATTAATGACCTTACTCAAGAAGGAAATTAAAATTTAAGCTTTATTGATTGCATGTTCATTCATCAAATCCAAACACCAACAGCCAACATTCAATCATGACGATCATTGATCACAAAAAGATTGCAAGTAGAAAATACTTGTTACTTCAGAAGGCAGAAAAACTTAAGATTGCACAAAAATTGGCAGCAGGTGGAGGCAACAAATTTCTAGAATTAGTAGATTGAAACAAGTATAAATTTACATCAGATTAGTCGTAGAAGAATGAAAAAGATGAATAAAAGAAAAGGGAACCTGTCGAGACAGTTGTTGGTGATAGAGGGCCCCTGCAGATTCTTTTGTGACTGGAGATATAATACCAACACTCAACAACCAATCTTGCATCTCCTCTTTGGAACCCATTTCCTCATCATTCCCTGCACCACTGTGAGAATTTGAGCCAGACAAAAGCTTTTGCCTCATTTTCTCTGCTAGCATCACCATCTCTTTAGCCTTGCTCTAAAAATTCAACATAACACAATTCTGATTATAAGAACACCAAAAAAAAAAAAAAAAAAAAAAAGGAATTATGGGACCTAGGGAAGAAAGAGGGGACCAAAATGTGAAGAGAGGAAGCAGGCATTTTTCTGATTCTGGGTTATATAAAGGTGTTGTTTGTTTGGATTAAGTGACCCTTTACTTCAAGAAGGAATTTAGAAATTTAACAAATTATATATGATTGCATGATATTCATTCACAAAATCCAAACACCAACAAAAAGCCAACATTCAAAATTCATGACGATCATTGATCACAAAAAGGATTGCAAGTAGAAAATAACTTGTTACTTCAGGAGGCATAAAAACTTAAGAAATTGCAAAACAACCTTGGCAGCAGAGTTGGAAACAGGTCGGCAAACAATAAATTTCTACGAATTAGATATGCATTGAAACAAGTAATAAATTTTACATCAGATTAGTCGTAGAAGAATGAAAACAGTATGAATAAAAGAAAAGGGAACCTTGTCGAGACAGGTTGATTGTGATAGAGGGACTCCTGCAGATTCTTTTGTGACTGAGTATATAATACCAACACTCAACAACCAATCTTAGCATCTCCTTCTTTGGAACCCATTTCCTCATCATTCCCTGCCACGCACTGTGAGAATTTGGAGCCAGACAAATAGCTTTTGCTCATTTTCTCTGCATAGCAGTGCGGTACCATCTCTAAGGCCGGTGCGTCATAAAAATCGTGCAAGCGATAAACACAATTGCTGCATTATAAGAACACCGAGAAAAAAAAGGGAAAAAAAAAAAATAAAAAAAAAAAAAACATAAAAAAAATAAAAATCAAAATTACCATCCGCAGGCATCCTCAACACGTCTTGAAAAGCCTTCTTGCAAGCTTTTTATCGGACTCTCCCACTTCTCCTGTTTCCTTTTTCAATATTCCTGCCCACACCAACATTCTTTACTGACCCATCACTGCCGGAGTAATAACCTACTACCAGAAACTACTAGGCGTGAAAAAAAAAAAAAAAAAAAAAAAAAAAAAAAAAAAAAAAAAAATCATTACCATGAGAGCATTCAAGTCTTGAAAAGCCTCTTGCAAGCTTTTATCGGTACTCTCCCACTTCTCCTGTTCCTTTTTCAATATTCCTGCCACACCAACCATTCTTACTGACCCATCACTGGAGTAAAACCCACCAGAACTACTACTTGTACCAGGTACAATTGACCCACTAGAAGTGGAACCCCCTTCATCAGTATCGGTCTCCCAAGCTCTTCCTCTCCAATTCTCCCAAAATTTAGCCACAAACCCGTCCCAATCGCCCTTCCCTCTCGAGACAACTGTAACCACCAGGCTCTTGGAATGCAACGAGACCTGGAAGCGAATCCTAGGAGAGTGGAAAATGGATTTGATTGATTTTTTGGGAGAGAATATGTGGGTGATGAGAGAGAGAGGGATAGCAATTGCATTGGAATCGGAATTAGAAGGAAGCCAGAGAAGACGATGGTTGGTGAGAATGAGGAGACCTGATTTGAAACAAGGGAAGAAAGGAGGGTCGTCTTCAGATTCGAGGTCCACGGCGGCAAGTAACTGGCATTCTACCTCGTTGGGAAGGAGAACCGGGCGGCCGCTGCTGGTCACAGATGCTGATGGGAACAGATTGTTGTTGCTGGCCATTCTGCTTCTCTATACAAAGACTTCTTCCAACTGTGCTGTTCGTGTATATGGAGTTCCTTTCTTTTCTTTCTTTTTTTCAGTTTACAAATAAAAGTATGCCGGATTATATTCATTTTCATTTGATTAAAAATTAAAATTATTCATTTTTAATTTGCCACTACTCACTGGTAGGGTGAACATTTAACTGGACTAAAATTTCAGTTAATTTAGTTCAATTTAATTAACTCGCTTTAATTTTGGTAACAATACATCCAAATAACCGAATTTATATAAAAATATGGATTTCTTTTTTAGGAGAAAAATGAATATCATTAATTCAATGAAATATTACCATCAAAACAAGAAGGGAGATTATCCTAAACTTGGAAACTGAGCATAGTGAATGGATGCTCTAGCTAACACGGTAGCATTTATATAACTTGTCTCTTAACCCACTTGACTTTAATATCAAGCCTAAAATCTAAAATACTCTTACAATCCCAAACAATCAATCCAAATTCAGAGTTGTCTAAAGAAAAAGAATTGAAAGCATTAATAAGTTTTTGACGATCAGAGAAAACACGACTGCTAAAAGGTAAATAATCCCTTGCGTAGAGTAAGCAAGTCCTTGCGAGAGCTTCGACGATCACTGGATCGCCATTTCCTTCATGTAAACCTGAAATAGCCTGTTGGAAGGTGCCTTCACTATCCTCTATCACAAAACCATATTCAATCATATTTGTAGCAGTAAACAAGGCTCCATCAACAAATATTAGCCACTCAAAGTTGGAGCTAGGAATTGACAACCATGGAGATGTTGCATGATTTTTGATGTGGAACTGGATGGGGTAGCTGCTGCATGATCCACTTGTCTCCCCTCATGCATGTAATGGGAAGATGCAACAAAAACATCAACAGAGGAGCTCCATTTTTGTTCACACAGTGCAACTGATTACAAGAAACTCAGCATCAGTCTTCCCTTTATTATTTAAAACTTGCAAAAGAAAATCCGAGAATAAAATGTTAGGGGCTAAAGCTCCAAACCCACCCAATCTCCAAACCTCCTTTGCTCTCCAACAATGAATCAAAACATGGTTTATGTCCTCCATATTACTACAAAAAGGCATTTATCATCAATATTAATACCTCTCCTCCTAAGCCTTTCTTGTGTAGGTAAAATATTAATTTCTTAAAGCTCTCAACAAAAATCCCGAATTTTTGGGGGTATAACCAAATTCCACAATCTCCCCCAAACCTCACCCTGTAGTCTAGAAGGTTTCCCCCCTAACAAGCCAAGGCTTATATGATAGCTGGACTTGACCGCGTAAATACCCTTCTTATCAAAGAGCCACGTAAGAGAATCCTTCCTATCAAAGGAGCTAAGAGGAAAACTAATAATGGCTCTAATATCTGTAGTGCTAAATAAATCCATAAGCTTACTAATATTCCTGACTCCTACTACCATTATTAAAAAGCTCACTCACCCTCATATTAGGATCAATAAAAACATCTCCATCATCCGCCACTAAAGAACCTTGTTTTTAGATCACTAGCAACCTTTATATTATGCCCATCTCCTACTATCCATCTTGCTAGAAAACTGTAACATCCCAAGCCTACCGAGATATTATTTGCTTTAGGCCCTAGACCCGCACGGTTTTGTTCCTGGGCCAGGGAACCACCTCCCAACCCACAAAGCGTCGCAGTAGCTCAAGGTCTGCCACAACTTATGTACATCACTTCCACCTTGTTGCTAGAAAACTGTAAACATCCCAAGCCTTACGAGATATAGTTAAATTTGCTTTAGGCCCTTAGAACCCGCACGGTTTTGTTCCTGGGCCAGGGAAACCACCTCCCAACCCATTTGTTCCTGGGCCAGGGAACCACCTCCCAACCCACAAAGCGTCGCAGTAGCTCAAGGTCTGCCACAACTTATGTACATCACTTCCACCTTGTGCTTAGCCGATATGGGATTTGCCTAAGGTGTCACATACACCCCCCTTTAGGGACTCAGGGTTCTCGCTGAGGTTTGCCCTACCATCAGCCATAGAGACAAAGCTTGGCTCTGATACCAAGTTTGTAACAAACTAGGCCTACTGAGATATTGTCCGCTTTGGGCCCCAAGACCGCACAGTTTTGTTCTTGGGCCAAGGAACCACCTCCCAACCCAAAACTCGTCTCAGTAGCTCAAGGCCTACCACAACTTATGTACATCACTTCCACCTTGTGCTTAGCCAATGTGGGATTCGCCTAAGGTGTCACAAAAACAAAACACTTTTCCACACAAAACTTGGATTTCTTCCTAAGGAAGTCGTAAGAAAATCCGCCTTCCGGAAAAATATTTAGCTTTGAAAACTTTATATATAGGAGAGTGTTGGTCTCCTCCACCATTGTTTACCTAGCATAGCACTATTGATAAAATATGGAGTTAAAATATCGTAAATCTTTTGGCGGTTGTTATTGCTAATACATTTTTAAAAGAAAATGGTGCACTAACTTGCCTACATTTAAAATTGTTAGAGTTGTATTTGATAAATTATCCAAAAAGGTCCATTTTGCCTAAGGGTGTGCATGGGTTGGGTTGGAATGAGAATTATATAATTTTCATTGCCATCCCAAAATATCGGATGTAACGAATGAAGTCTCAATCCTATCCCAATAGATATATAGTCTCATCCCATCTCGTCCCATTTTTTGAGACGAGAGGAAATGAGAATTCAGGTCTATGGGATAGGATGAAATGAGTCGGCTCGTGGAATCAATCGAGAATTCTCATAGTCTTACTAAATTATTTTTCATAAATAAAAGATAAAAAAAGTACTATATTCATCAATTACAATTAAACAAAATTCATTTATATAAGTTTGAGTTAAAAAAAAGAAGAGAATAAATTAAATAATTAATTCAATCATTGATGATCTACTACTAAAGTTTTAATAAGATTTTTAATTAGTTATTTTCTATTTAATAAAAGTGTTAAATATAATAAAATAAAATAATGCAAAAACTATATACAATTTAACTTTAAAATGTATTTTTGAATTTTAACTTGTCATTATTTTTGTCGTTGTTGTCTTTAAGCTGATTTAAATTTGATATTTACGTAATTTAATCTTGAATATCATCTGAAAAATAAATAATGATAGCATTAAGCATAACCAATAATCTATTAATTAGATTAATTGAAGTTAATATTTTCAATATAATTATGAAATAATATACGATAAATATATATACATTTGAGCAACATAAACTACATACTGAAAAAATTAAAGTAAATAAAGAATGAAAGCAATAAAGCAATTACCAATAAAATCTATAATAATGATATTATGAATCCTAAATAAATAGTTAAATCATATTCCATTCAAAAGATTGAATATGAAATGACTCACATATGACAAAGTGAGAAAAAAAAAATTTATTACAAAAAAAGAAATTAACTATAAGCAAAAAAAATAAAAATAATTTAACTGTGAAAATAAAACAAAAAGGAAAAAAAAACTAATGAATTATGAAAAATATTTTCAATTTAACAAATTTGAATTAATAATATTACAGCAGGTAATTATTGTAAATATCTTTATCATAATACATATGCATATTATTTTGAAGAACATACTGAAAAAATACTATTTTATGAATATCCATGAAAAAATATTATAGTCCAATTAAACAAAATTTAAGGTCTAGAACATAATATTGAACCCTGGTCACTAACAAATAAAAACACGCAAAATACAAACTCTAACAACACGCATAAGAAAACCACGGAAGCCATACCACACCCTAGAAATAACTTGGGCTTTAACTTACTTGCACATCACACATAAATGAAATTTGATATCCGTCAAAAAATTTATTCAAAAAGATTTACTTAACATATACTGTGAAATAACAAAGGAAAAACCTATGTTGAAAAATATTTTTAATTACTTGATTTATTTTATATTTAAAAATGCATATTATTTTGAGTAAAATACTTTGAAGTTCCTAAATTATAGTCCAATTAACAATTAGGTCCTGCTATATTGAGGTACTAACTTTGACATCCCTAAATTGTTGTTTCGTCAGAAAAGTTAGTCCTTCCATCCAATTTCGCCCATTTTTGCTGTTAAGGATGTGTGGGAAGACCAAAATAACCTCAATTTAAAAAAAGGGGGTAATATGGCATTGGAGGGAAAATGAAAGGACACTTTTCTCAAATATGTTTTTGAGTTTTCAGTGTGTTCTTGAGAGAAAAGACGCTATCCATGAAGAACTTCTGAGAACTTGCGTTGAAGAAATCATTGTGTTTAGTTGGTATTCATTATTCTTGTTTCAAAAGAACCGAAAATCACCTCTACCTTCGTTATTCTTGTTCAAAGCCATCTTCAGCGAGGTAAGTTTCATGCTTTTTTATATTAGCTTCCATCTCAGCCAAGTTATGGTAAAGTTAAACCCACAATTTTATCAAAATTGATAGATTTTAGTTTTCTTCACTCACTATTATATCAGATATAGCATCAAGTACATAAATTTAGGGTTTTTTTCTATGAATAGAAATAGTTGATTTGGATATAAGATTATCAAAAATGACCTTACTGAAATCCATTTTTTTTTAGAATGGATGACACATTGTGGTATACTATTAAGGTGAAACATGGTGCTAAAGAAAGTAGTATTTTAAATGTAAACATAGATAAGTTGAAATAACCCAAGAATTCAATTTCAGAAATTTTTTTCATTTAAAAATTTAATTGAAATTTTAACCAATGAAATTACACAATAAAATATTTTATTATTGCTAAACCAGATCCGTGAACCAGTTTGAATTGATCAAAAACCAAGTGAAAAACCTGTCAATCAAGCAAAAACCAAACCAAACCATTGAGTTGGATCAAACCAGTTCGAATCAAACCAGAATGGTCTAGAAACCCTAGACTTTTTCTGTTCCTTCTTATCTTCTTATTCTCTCTTTCTTCTCCCTCCAGCGCCGCTTGTGAATACTCAAATTTTGAGGCTCAAAAAGCCTATTTTCCCGGACTGCAAACAGTCCGACCGGAGTGGAGGCCGTTCGGAAAAGTTCACCGAAAGTCCGGAGTGGAGGCCGCTTCGGAA